ACTCCAGCAGGGATGTCATACAGCCATTTTATTATAAAAACTTATAACAGAGGAAAGAAACATTCATAGTTGTATTTTAGTGTTTTCAAAGAACTTTCCAAAACTTTTATATCTGTATATTATTTGTTGACAGTGTGACCCTTGTAACAGTACCTCTAATTCATCCTTCACTAGCTTGAGCTCTTCTGCAATGGTCAGTTTCTGTTTTTGTTTATCATTTCCTTCTTGATAGGAAAGTATTTCACAAAGAATCATAGAAACGGCATCAGCATTCTGCTTTAGGACAAACATGCAGCAAGGTGAGAGCGAGTGCCACACATGCTCAAATGAAAATTTCTGAAGAAAGATAATAGTTACAGCTTTATGAAAGAATGAACATTTATCTGTCATACATGTCTATAAATTATCTCTTTGTGTACATACAAAATTAATATTATTCATATTTTAGCATGTTCATTAGCAAGAGATACATTTAAAAATAAATTAAAGGAAATATTTTCCAAGTTCAGAATATCACACATCTGATGAATGTCTTCCTAATACAATGATTCTGTACTAAATAATGCACTGTCAACAAGCCTGATAAACATGTTAGCAAGCCGAGTGATAGCTTGCTATTGAATGTACCAAGCTAGGGGGTAGCAGTGCTTTATTTGCCATACGTACAAAGAGAATCCATGCATGTTTCTAACTCAAAACCACTTATTTTGAATCAAATCAATGTTATTAGCAAGCTGATATCACTGCGCATAGGGTGATATCAGCTCCATGGTATGTATATAAAAATTAATTAAAAATTAGATTAGGATGTTAAAATCTTTTATCTGTAGAAAAAACTTTTATATTGCAGGTGAAGGAAACATTTTACCAAGAGGTTTTTAAGAGTGCAAAAAATATCTGTGAACTTTTACCTACCTGGATTGTGTCACTGATAATTTTCCAGCCCTCAGACATTTTTAACATTTCAAGACAGACATCTTGGCCGTTGTCATGAATGAACATGGGCATAGGGGCATCAAGTCTTTTCCCTCCGAGTTGCCCCTCAACATCTCTCACCATCTGCCACAGGGAAAAGTAGTAATAATATTGATTAGAATACTGTAATTTGGTCATTTCAAATGTATGTATGAAATACATTAATGCCTAATCAGAAATAAATTGATTCCAAGACTGGAATAAAAAGAGAGAATAATGATTAAAATTTTAATTACCTCCGCCAAGGAGGTTATATTTTCACACGTTTGTTTGTTTGTTTGTTTGTCATCAACATAACTCAAAAAGTTATGGATGAATTTCGATGGAATTTTCAGGGTAGGTCAGAAATGGGTTAACTTAGAAGTGATTAGTTTTTGGTGGTGATCCAGATCAATTATCAATCAATAATCAAAAATCAAAAAACTAAGTTATGGACTAATTTTGATGAAAATTTCAGGAACTGTCAGAAGTGGGCCAAGGAACAGATGATTAGTTTTTGGTGGTGATCCAGATCAATAATTAATCAATAATCAAAAATATCAAAAATTTAGGGGTGCATTGGATGGAGACTTTGCTGCCTTGGCAGAGGTCTGCACTCTCTGAGTGCTTTTCTAGTTAATGTTCTTGTGCGTGATATATATAGGAAACCTGTGCAGTGTTGCATTTTATCACAACAAATATTGTGGTAAACATGCAGATACATAAATATATCAAAATACCTTCATTTCCTCCTTGTAATTGTTGATGCAATATACTCTAATTTTGAACATCATGTCAACTTCAAGTGGAGGGGCAAACGCCACCAGTCTCACACTCTTTGCAGCCATGACATTCTCAGCAGACTCCCCAATGACTGTGTACAGGGTGAAATGCCTGAGCTCAATGCTAACACTCCTGGACAATATAAGCCTGGAATCATAATCAGCTATGGTCATGGGAGCCCACTGAACACCCTGAAAAACAGACGTTGGGCTCATCATTGGTTGGATGTTCCATGCAGAGCGTACATCTATGGCACAATGAGGAATGGATAGTGTCACTGGCTTGGTAAACCGTATGCCATGGGGTTCACACACAACCACGGGGCTCAACAAAGCCTGCTTTTTAGTCAGTTTTGGCATATGTGTTTTGTTCCATATGATCCCAACACTAATGTCTTTAGTCTCCTCTAAAGCATTTGGTGGGATAGTCAACTTAACTTCATGCAGTGTTATCTCCCCTCCTTGCCTTCCAATAGATTTTTTTGCAAACATCCCTTGTCTGTGATCAAAAGACGCCATGAAGGACTTTTTGCTAGAGTCAATTTGAGAGTCCACATCAAATTCAGGATCTTCAAGTTTCAAAGCAAAATCCATAGACATTGGCCGTTGTGCTTTTGCTGCCATTTTACCTTCATCATCTACAAAGGAACTGTTGTCATAATTTGTTTTAATCTGCTGTGTTTCATGCTGAATGAAAATTTCTTCAATTGGAACTTCTGTAACTGAATTGGTTCCTGGTACCTGATACATCTTAGATCTGTCATAAACAACCTCATCATGGTCACTGCCACGACCAACATTTTTTTCCTGATATGACTTTATGCCTTTAGTGGCATCATTTTCACTGAAGTAGTCTTGGCATAAAGGAAACAGCTGTGAGAAATCACCAATGTCCCCAAATATACTGGTGCGGCTGTGACCAAAATATGCCGTAAAACTTTTTCCTCCTTGCCTCATGACCTTCTTAGACCTTATGGTGACATTGTCTTCATCTTGTAAATCATCAGCAGGAGAACCCTGTGCTTGGCCCTGTGACTGGGTGGCTAAGTCATCTTGAATGGTATCCTGGGGTGTAGAGGTGTTGGATTCCACTTGGTCACTCTTTACTTTGATTATCTCAGTGCACCTGTTGTACAATAGCATAAACAGTTACTGACTCAATCTTTTCAATGGGGAAAATTGTGAATTTTTGCCCATTGAAAAGATCAAGTCTTACCAGGGAGTGCTAAAGGTGATACTTTTCTATGTTATAAAATCATACATTTTATTTCTTTGTTTATTCCTTTTAAAAATATTTATTCTTTCAGTTTAGCAGAGATAAGCCTGTAATAAGGCTCAGTTATTACAAACCAAATTTATATAACCATATGCAGTAGTTTCTTTTTAGTGCTAATTAATCAGATTCATCAATAATGATTCTGTTACCTTGAATCCCCAGTGGAGTACCCATCAGGTGACAGCTGCATTTCTAGGGTCCCATTGTGCTGCCTGTTCTGCTGCTGCTGCTGCTGTTCAAGCTTTTTCAAACGTCGGTGTAACCACAAACCAACAGCGACCACGACAACTATGGCAATCAACACCACTGCACCAATTACAGCAGATGAAATAATCTGTAAAAGGATGAATGAATCGGTACTGACAATAAAAAAAAAAAATAAAAAAAAAATAATAAACAGTAACTGCAATTATTTTGTGAAGCAATGATTGGATTACATTAGGATATCATAGAAAATATGGATATCATTTTGTCCTAAGATCACTTCTCAGGCTAATCCATGTGATCAGTTAATTTTGATGCTTAATTAAACAATGCTGAGTGGAGTCATCGTTAACTGTCTGATATTAATCTACCTCTGTTATTGTGGTCATTCAAAAATGTAACTTGCACAACAAGCCTTTCAACCCTCATGGATTTGCCGTGAAACTCGCACATTTTGGACATTTAACCTAGGTCTCACAGTCTTCTGAATTGTTCAGTACTTATCACGGAAAATTGTAAGCAAAAGTCTGAGCAAATGACGGTATTGACAATGTCAGTAAGGACATAGTAGGCTCCATCAACAGGTTACCTTCCACGAAGCCATGGAAAGTATTCATCTGCAAAATTTTCACTGAGGAAGTAAGACTAATAAACTTATTTCATTGTCTTGCATTACATCCATCTGTTTTAATTAATACTGTGCTTTTTTATGATAATCAGGGAAGGTAAGATATGTCTCATTTAACAATAAATAAGAAGGCTTGGTTGTAACCTGAAGGATTTTGACCAAATATCCATTTTTTTTTAAATCTGACAATCTCCAGATTTCTCTACCTCAGAGGTGGTCTAGGCACAGGGCTTTGTAACCATAAAATCTCGTGCCTAGAAAATTCAGTCTGTGAAAAAAAAAACTACAGGCAATTGTATAAAATATTTCAATTTAGACTGATTTTTAAATTGAGCTATATTTTTGCCCATTGAATTATTATAAATATCAAGTAACTGTTATTTTATAAATTATAGGGTTAAAGAGATAACAACTGTTCCTTTTGGCCAAAAAAAAACAAAAAAAACAAAAACATTTCCTGGGGTAAACGACAATTTTCCCATACTTGACAATGGTTAATGAATCCATTCTGACATTCCTGTTTTTTTTTTTTTTTTCATTTACTTCTTCGGTAAAGCCATCTTTGAAAGTCCACATTGTCTGACCAAGCAAGCACAAATGCCAGAATAATTTGCGATAACTGCTGCTTTGGTATTAAAATGGAATTTATTATATCTCTGTGAGTTGTTTAGTGTATTTATTGTGAAATATGCATCTCATATAAACAGTTGCTATCCTTTTAAACGAGTAAAAATTGCAGTAAAGTGCATTGACATGACACAACAGGCAGATTGTGGCTGTAATTGTCAAGATGCGCTGTCCATAATAAATAAAAAAAGAAAAAACAAGACAAGCCAACCATTATATCAATCAGGTTGTTTTGTGAATTATCAAGGGAAGGTTATTTTCTAGCTACTTAAATGTGCAAAAAATGAAATAATACACTTGAAAAATTTAAATAAGGGTCTGCTAGATAAAATCCAAGGACAAATAAGCTTGTCTTGCACATGACCTAATTATCCCCCCCCCCCTTGCCCCACTTATACCTAATGCATTAAAACCAAAGAATCAGTATGAAATTGATTTTTTTACTGAAAAAAATAGCTTCAGGTTTTATTTTCATCTGCCTTTACCTTTAACAATGTAAAGGATGGGTACGTTTTCCTATGTCACGTAAAAAATGTTTCGCTATTACGTTCGACTCACCTCACCATTTTCAAGGCCTGTACATCAATTTTTCATTCCTTTTTATGCATTTTCTTGTTTTATTTTGTTTAATTTTATTTTATCTATCATCATAATTATTATTTCAACTTACTGAAAAGGTGTGGTTTTGTATTTGATTAACTATATATTTTCTGTTAAGCAAGCCAAGGACGTGCTTGATCAAGCTAAAGTTAAATTCAAAATGAGACTGGCTGGGCACAGAAATCCATGCACTTTGCCTTTATATAGATATGTATAAGCGAAGGTCGTGATAATTGCATAATTCCTGACAAAGGTGAACATAATGGGATCAAAAGGTCAATTAAATTGGTCAAGGTAGTTGATAAATCAAACTCTCATCACTGTTAACATGGAAAAATAAGGATATGTGAAATAAAAATTTTACGTTTATATGTATACGGTATAATTAAAATGTCAATTTTTTTCCACTTCCCAATATCCCAGATGAACAACCTGTGGATTAAGATGATATGCACTTTTGAAACATTAGTTTCTCCAGATACGAAAACCATAAATGCATTAATACCAACTGCATTCAAGTTAAAAATCACAAGTTATGTGTTTTTTTTAATATATATTATGCAGGTACAACTAACCACTCCATTGTCAATAATGATGGTCATTTTTAAAGACTTGATTAACAATTTATAGCCATGAAAAAAAAAAAAAGACAATTGCCTCTAAAGAGACTGTACATGTTTTTACCAATTAGGCATGACGTTTTGTCTCTTAAGAAACAATTGTCTTTTTTTTTTACGATCTTAACACAATAGACAAAAAATCTATTTCACTGAATCTATGCACTTTCACATTGACGTTAGAATCTCACGTTGAACAATTATTGCTGAAATAGCATTTATAAACTCTGCCTGTAAGTAATTTAAATACTGCCTGCTTACTTTGTGCATTGTTGTTCTTGTAGGCTGATGGGTTCTAAAAATGATTTTCCGAAATTGATGTCAATGAAAATGCGCACCTCCGTGATTCTTATCGTCACTGTGTCTAATGCAGGAGGTTAACCCATAGACCAACAATAGTATAACTTATTGCATAGAACCACGTGACTAATTGAACATGTTTGATTGGCTAGGCAGTTAAAAATTGGTGACAAATCGGACAAATGGTGTATGATTAAACTAATTCAATTTTAGAACTGGAATCGAGCCCCTTACCTAGAGAGGTAATTGTATTAAGATAATTAAATTAATTTTTGTCTATATAGATGTTGATCACTAAAAAATTAAATTTAGATATATAATTTGAAATTGAAGAATATGGCTTTTGAAGATCCCGTTTTAGGTGTCACGGCTGTAGCATGGTGAAAAGGGAGAGAACATTTTAACGAGAAAGCTGGAGATGAATGTTTTGGGAGAGAGATTAAATGTTAAATAATAAAAATAAAATATGTTAACTTACAGCAATTTGGTCGCCTTGGTGGACAAGTGCTGGAGTATTTGATGAGGTTGTTGCAGTGGTTAAGTCATATTTTTTAATCATTTCTGTCTGTCTGTTTGATCCAGATGAACCTACGGTATATGTTGTCACTTCCACTTTTGATGGGGTCACAGAAGCGCTATTCACTAATGTGGTATTAGCCAGTATAACAGCCATCTTTGCAGCAAGCACCTTAGATATGAAAATAAATGTGGTAATGTTTTCCAGAGAAAATGCTGAAGTAAAGTGATTTGCAGTACGAATATTGTAGTTAAATATTTTGTTTTCATTTAAGAATTTCAATTAAACTCTAGATCCTTAAATCTCTGTAATAACGTACTGCATGAAAGTCACACACAAGGCACACTACATAATTAAGAAGCATCTACTTATTGAACATGGACAGTCTTTTTGGTTGCCATGGAGAGCATTGTTCTTTTTTCTGTATATATGTACTTGTACATTTGACTATTTTAAACTAAATATGCATACACTTTGAAGGTATTAAATCTTTATACAAGTAATTTGTTGAAGGTGGAATTTAATTACCAACAGCAATGTCCAGACTACTGATGTCCCTGTATCTGTTATCTGTACAAGTAGCTATAGATATGCACCATTCTGGAAGTAATTCCTAAAATAAAACCTGAAGAAAACAGAAGGCTGTGACTGACCATCATTATCATGCCCTGTAATGAAGAATTAGTCGGCAATAAAACCTTTCACTGATTACCTTTTTATCCATAGATAATAGGAATGCTATAAACAAATTAAAAGGAAATACACGGTATGATATTCACACTACATCTTTTTCTCAAATCCATATCAACACTGGAAAATAAAGTTATATATATACATTTATCTCAAACAAATGAAAAATAAAATCTGAAATCTCTTTTACATCTAAAAAACTTCTATGATGCTTAATTATGAGTTAATTTAAGTGCTGTGATCCTCAGCACAGGGTAAATAAATTATTTACCATTATGACATGAAAACACTTTGTGTAAGACTGCATTCCCACAGATTTAGATTGATCCATCTGGATCGACCTAACTCCCTGGGGGTTCATGCTAAATTGCTGTCAGCCGAGCGCACACGGAAGTTAATTACCCCCTTACAGCTTTTAGTAAGCGGGACAGACATTTAAGCCGGCTAAGCTGATCTAGTGAGACTCCCCACGGGGATAGATCGATCTAAAATCTGTGGGAATGCAGTCTAAGTTCACCATAGTTAAAGTTAAAATAACCACACCTAAATCCAGTTCAACCCCCCCCCCCCCCACTACTACTACTGTAACAACTACTACTACTGCTGCAAGACACCCCAGTTGACTTTTCCTCTCTACCTTCTGAATGAATGCTTCTGCTACTGAGTATGGCAGTCAACAAAGCTATCAATCACATAGAAGATGTGAAAGATGGCTTAGCTCTATAGCATTGTTAATATTAGCCTAATAATGCTTTTTAATATGGCTGGAAATAATAAATATTTTACCATTTTCAAATAATTTATCCTAGTACCTTTATAACATACACATTCTCTTACCTCAATGTACAAATGCACTAAAATTCCTCCCCTATCTCAAATATTAACCTACTTGCTGAGTCAGTCCTTTCTTGGCACTTCCTTGTAGGGTTGTGCAATTTTATTGTGGCACACTTTCCTTCATGTCGGGTGTCAAAGATTATAGATATTTAGGTAACCAACGGCTGAGACCCACCTTTCTATAGTTGTCACCCTCCTCTGCAGCAGACAAAGATAAATATGTTACAAATAACAGATAATCTCACCCATGTGTATGCACCAGCGCCCAGAACGTGTAGGGTAATGAATTGGAAATGCCTTTTGTATTGAACCCACTCATGCATGTTCACGCCCTTTCATCTAAATATCATATTGCATCCTTCGCAGGTCTTTGTTGCAGCAGGTAGGCAGAGCTTAATCAGGTCAGGCTTTGTGTTAACTGGGCTGTAGTTTAAGGTACTGCGAGCCCATGTATCAACACATTAATAACCAATCAATAAATCTCTGAGGAGGAAATGCCCCAACAGGTAGAGAATAACATAGCTGATTAGCACCTGGGTGAAAGTAATATGGAAAAAGGAGTGGAGAAAGAGGGAGAGGAGGCATATATAAAAAAACAGGATATATTTTCCAATAAGTATTGTAGTGTGAAAAACCCTTGTATATTTTATGTTATAATACTGTTGTACATCACCACAGAGGAAGCAGGACCATCCTAAACATTACAATTTTGTATCACAAGAGCACTACAAAGATTCTCGTGTTGTACATACATGTGGACAGCAGCAATCTTCTAAACAGAATGCTGAATGGTAAAAAGTGCTATAACCACTGTCTGTATTAAAAAACAATACCAAATTTAACCAAAAAAAAAAGACAAAAGGCCTGGAAAATCAGAAAAGTGCATTTCTTGTTTGAAAATATGTACCGGTAGGTCAAACTTCAGGTCACTTTTGTATCCCATTAATAGTTTCCTATTCAAAAACAATAACCTGTTAAATTTGGAGATATAAGGGCTAGTAAATAATAAAAAGATTATTGGAAGGTAGGTCAAAATTCAAAATAAAGGGTTAAGATCAATTGAGCGCAAAACTCAACATTAAAGCATTCAACTACAGAAAAAGGCAAATATACTGGGCAAGCTTGAACCAAATACCCCCTGTAAGTTAAATGAAGTTGTGATCACTATGTTCTGCAACTGGACAGCTGCAGACAAACGGCTGAGGATATAACCTAGTATGCCCCTTTGAACAGATTAAATAGAAATACTTTAAAGATTTTTTTTTTTGACTGAATACTTTAGGTATTAATTTCTCCCAATATAAAAATAATCAATCTGATTTAATAATAATTTAAAGGGCCTTGATTCTACATTAATTTTAATTTTAGTTAAATGCTCTTCCAATATTTTTCACAAAATGTATGTCCTCAAGTAGTCAAATTATTCATTCGGCTGAATAATTTTGCACTTGAAACAGTGTGGCTTGAAAATAAAATAATAGATTTTTAAAAATATATTTTGACTACGTTACCGCAGCATTGTTGTTAATAACAAGTGTAGAAATTTATGTAAAATAATGCATTCTGACTGGATTGAGAAATTAAGTAGCACAATTTTAACTTTAATTACCAAGTTCTACAATAAATAGCATGGTCAAGCATCAACAAAAAAATTCATTCTGACTGGGAGTCTTGTTTTATTTTAAGCATACAAATAGTATTTATTTGTAATCAGCAACAAAGTTACTTTAATAAATGCATTATTTACAATGGTTATACCAGCTCCTACATTCTTTGTCTATTTGCAGTAGTAAATGTTATGTCTTGGAGATATAATAGATATTAATATAATTATTTCATCCAATCAATATTTTATATTGATTAACATGCATAATTCAATGCAGATACCCTTTAGGTGCAAGTAAATACTGAAAATAAGGTTAAACTATTTAAGTAGAATATACACAACAGGTATTACATAGTCCACCAAAGAACCTAAAGTTCATTTATAAAATCCAGAATTTATTACAGTTGGAAGGATGCTCCTCTTAAACAGTCTCAAACAATCACCACACATTGTTACTACTGCCATAAAGTGATAACAATATTGACAAAAGACATAATAAAGTTTATAGAAGCCCTTTTGAGGATTTGAGACTTAAAAAAAAAGAAAAAAAAATTGTCCAAGATCTTTACCTCAAGCATATGAGCTGTCAGCTCACTACAGCTCAACTGCTTGCAATGAAATGGTGAAGCAGTAAAATGAAAAGCAAAGGTTTGGGTGTACTGGATAAGATGTGTGAACTATGTGATCTTCATCTCATAGAGAGATTAGCTCTTTGAATGTGTTTGTTCTGCACACATGACATACAGCTAAAGGTTACTAATTCTTCACTCCAGACAAGTTCACTGTTTTATACTCTCTAAGCACAGTTGTGATAATTTCACATCTCAAAGATATAGCTTATTTTCTATATAAAGACATGCAAAATAAGAACCAAAACTCCATTAACTGTCTATTTAACAAAATAAAAAAAGATCCTCTTCACAAATACAAACACTAAAACAAAGGAGCAAAACACATTATCATTACAAGGATATCTACAACATTCTATCCTCAAGTAAGCAAGATGTACTCCTGTCATAAAATGACAGTGGCATATCACTGTGCTTTATTTTAAAATTTTCTCCAAATTACCAACAGAATACAAAAAACATAAAAATTTGAGATGGGAGTCCATTAAAAATTAGTAAATTGTAACTGCAAAGCAAAAATGTATAATTGTTTATTTTTTTCATGAATCTTTCAGCCTTATAACATTACATATGAAGAGTACAGTTCATAAACCTGTTGAAATATACTATGTACTCCCCACATAAACTAAAGCCACAAGTTCTAGAATCAAAACAAGAGCACAGCAAAACATGGTAAAAATGCTTATTAAAATGACAACTCAACATACACGTTTTCATCCAGTCTTTACACATCTGTCTTCTGTTTATCATTCCCCAAGCCTTATTATAATAATAATGATAAAAATGCTACACGTTACTTCAGCTTGTACCCTCTGTGTCTCTTGCTGAGCCTCTCTCTGTTCAACACACAGGCACGCTTTGCCTTCTTTGGAGATGCCGGCATCTCATCGGGATTAAGTCTTTTACGAAGGGGTGTCATTGAATCTGCCATTTTGTCCTCTTCAGGCAAGGGGTTGAAAATCACATCGTCAGTTTTTGATGTCATGGCAGAGTTCATCTTGAGAGCTCTCTGTAGTTGCTCAAACTTGTCAACTGTTTCTGGTAGTGTCTGTTAAAAGGGAAAATTATGTGAATAAGTACATGTACAATAGTTCAATTATACTTGGATTTCTATTTCACTGTTAAACAATTGACCTGGTAAACCCTTTTTTTTTTTGCCTTAATAAGATATTCATTTCAGCCAATAAGTCTGTGCCACACGGATTTTTGAGAACAAGAAAGCTTCATTCATTGGTAGGGTGGACAGTCTAGACAAATTGCAGGAAAGCAAGTGAATGAGACCATAATAAATTAAAGGTGAACAGCATTTTGTCTGTGTACAGAAGTTATATGGTCTGCAACAACTGAAGGGGAGACTACTTAATTGATGATGCTGGTTCAGTAATGTGAACCCCCAAAATCTTTGCAGATTTCAAGGCACCTTCCTCTTTTCCTCCTGTCCGATTTCCACTACTGAGATGGAAGACATTTAGAACAAGTTGATCTGCGACTAACAGTTCCGCGGACTAAATATGGTTGACTCACTTAAAAGCAATCCCCTGATGGCCTCCCCGCTTCCACACACGCTCTTGCTGCAGAGGCTTTGCAATTAGACCTCAGAGCCAAGATTTTATCCATTTAATGGCATGTGGGAAGGGGGGAGACCATCAGGGGATTAAGTGGCACTGCTTTTAAGTGAGGATGGCCATATTTGGTCAACTGATCATCTAGTGGTATCTTCTGATATAAGTCAAGGTTATGATACAAGCCAAGAATAAAAGATGAATTTTGACCGTTTTTGTCCTCAACTTGACTGTTAAGTTGTATTGTGTACAGTGGTTTAGGCAATAGCTAAATTCATTCTATAATGTACAATGTACAGTTAGAAAAGCAATGCTGCACTGGAGAGCAGATTACTTTCTTTTCACATCAGTTTATGCCAGAGCTTTCCAAATTATGAATGCAGGAGGATAAATATACTCTTTGTCTACCTGCTATGTATGTTGGACCATAGTCTCTGTATTTACTGTCTTTGGTTTATTGACTTTAAATGTAATGTTGGAATTGTGAAATGAAGAATAAATTAAAATTGTGTAATTGAATTTTGTTAATTTACAATGAAACAAATTCTTAATTAAATGAAAATAGTGGTATTATTTTGAAGAAATGATACTGTGTTATTACAATGCAAGAAAGTATTAAAAGAGAGCGGAAAAGGATCAATTTAAAAAAATTCCTCTTTCTCCCCAAGTTGTATAGCAGATTAGCCCCTCCCTTCACAATATTTTGGTGTAGTTGGACTCCCTTGATAATTGCGTAAATAGTCAATCCTTTCCATTTGGACTCCCTGTAACCAGTAGAGTGAGCACAGGTGGAATAACTGTAACAATGTGTTAGGCAACGCATATATATCTAAAAACTTACCTTCATTAAAGTTTTCAAGTCTTTGCAGGTCCTCCCTAGCCTTGCCTGTAAATCATCAAAAGACTTGTCCAGAGACGTGGGCTCCTGTGTGATGGAACTCTCTGTTTTGACAACAGCACTAGTCTAAATTGATATATGGGATATAAATAGATTTCGTCAAACGATTGCAATAACTTAAAATAAATTTCTCAAAGCTATTAGATCACTTGTTGTGATCAGTTTTCAAGAAACATGACCTTTTTCAACTTGCTGCTTTCCATTAGGACAGACAGGATAATAACATACATGATAAAGCTATATCAGTTTAAGAAAAAATACTCTATCACACATAAATATTTTTGAATATGTGTAAGTCCATAGAGAAGATGGCATAGTCTGCTCTAAAAAGTAGATAATAGGAATGGTATTCAAGTGGTCGAAATTAACATCAGTTTGAAAGCAATTACTTCAAATATGTACACTGTGCAAGAGAATGTAAAAGAAAACACAGCATTGGTAGAATATTTATAAATGTGAAGATATAAATTAAATTCATGCCTACCAAGAACTTCTTTTCGGCCTTCCCCTCTCTGCATAAATACTGGGTGCACAAAAGCGGGCAATGCTTTCTGCTCCGTGTGGTTCGTTTGATGACCTGATCAAGAGCCGGTAGTAGGGTGGTGTTGACATAATTCCGTCTATCAAGATTTATGGGTTCTAATTCTGAAAAACAATATGATGAACTGGTAAACAAATTGAAAGAAAAATTCACTTGAACACAATATCCCAACTAGATGATTTAATGAAAATTTGAATTGATCAGTTGGACTACATACGCTCTTAACTCACTTTAATCAATTAAAATGCCAAAGTACTCAGAATTCTCTTTTACTGACAAAATTAACTATCAATACACAGACAATATGTCATTATGTTGTCAGAATTTTTATTGCAAATAGGCCATAAAATATGAGCAAGAGTTACCCCAGAGTATTCATTACCCCATTTCAAATCGAGAAGTATATTTTTAAAACTGGACTGCTCCACTTTGAGAAATTGACAACTTCATGGCTTGGCTATTACTTATGCCCCTATTCCACACTGATTGTGAATTCAATGAACTGCCAAGAATTGATAAATCCCAGGGTTCTTAGTTTATAGTGGTAAATTCTTTAAGCTCTGAACTGATTATTATTTTTTCTCAGTCAGTTCCAGGATTTCTAGTAAGATCGTGAAATCAGCACAAAAGTTTTGAACCAGTCTTCTATTTATCACCAGTTCTAGGACCAGTGCTATTGCTGCTCTATGTTGAATGTCCATTTTAGAAGTGAAGCCGAACCAAACTTAGTTCTACCAGATATGTGTAATATCTCACGATTCCATATGATTTCTATGATGCATCAATTCCTGAAGTAAAACCCCCTGTAGCATAATTGCATGTTAGGACCTCTCAAAGTAGGCGGTTGGCCGGTCCACTTAGATGTATGCCTCAATGTGAAAAAGGAACTTAGCTTACCTGGGCCCAGTTTCATCAACACTGGATAGTGATATCCTCTGGATAACATTATCCATTGGATAAATTTGTTATCCTAAGGACAGTTATCCTGTGGGTAACGTAATAATTCTTACAGGCTAGATACTTATTTTGGTCCCTGATATTATTGATATCCAGTGGTTAAAAAGGGCTGCAATCCTCAGAATATTCAATGGATAGTGTTATCCATAGGAAGGCGCTATCCATCGTTGATAAAACTGGGCCCAGATGTTACCTTACCATCTGTAGCTGCTTCAGAACTAGACTGGTAATCTATCTGGATGTTCACATTGAAAGCATTGGCATAAATCTGTAAATAAATTGGATCAACTCTGAGGTATAACAAAAGTAATTTGAAAGTTGCCTCTCCTTCTTTTTCCACACTGTGACTACCTTACTAATAACAAAATATATCTCCTTCTGACAAAGTTACTTATGCACAGTTTACTTCTATGTATTCTACTTTACTAACTTTCCATCACTGATCAATGCTAGTGATGGAAAGTCAGTATTTTGTGCAACTGACCCCTCCCCTCCCCTTCCAATGAAAAGAGAGAATTACCCAAATACTTAGTTTAAATGTAAATAATAGGTATGATTGATAAGATTTTTGAATACACAAAGTTCCCATTCCAACATGGGAAATATAAGATTTTCATACAGGGTATTGACGAACCAACTCCTGATACCTTGGCCTCATAATACCTCAGAAAAGAATGAAACATATATATATAATATTCAACAATGATAGGCTCACTCTTTAAGAAATAGATCAACTTTCATGATCTTAATGCAAAAACCATAAGTATCTGTGTCTGTACATAAAAATCAGTAAAATCGCAGGTGTTTTACAGCAACTTCAAAAACAGAGCTTGGTATTAACACACATCAAAATTCTTTTGTGATGGGAACGTCAAAATTTAAGATGGATTCATCAAGCACATGAACAATCTAAAACATATTAAGGCTGCAGAATTGGATAAAAGCAGAAGATTTAAGGAGGAACTGGTGAACAACAAAGCAGGAAGATCATTAGGTATATTGAGGGCAAACAAGGGTGATTGTCAGAATAGTTGGATGAAATAAAGTCCCAATGATATACATGGACCCTAGCACAGACCAAGTACCAGTACTCAGGCCCGTAGCCAGGGGAGGTTCGGGGGGAGGGGGGGTTCAAAAGAACCGCCCCTTTTGCTGGGAAAAGGTCCACTCTGGGTAAAATTTGATCTTGGTACATTAAGGTTTTATGGGAAAAGATCCACTTTTTCAGAAAAAGAATCCCCCTTTTGAAATTGCTGGCTACGGGCCTGTACTACTGGGGGCGTCTCGATAGTCCGAAGGTTCATTGGTCCGAAAAGTGGTAACATTTTCATCGATTTTTTTAATCAAGGGTTCATTGGTCCTTCGGAATATCGCTACGGCCCCGTACTACTAGTGCCAAAGTTCCGAGGACTGGTGATGATTTTATCGAAAGAGAGGGGGAAATGTAATCAAATACTTCTGGATTATTATCCATGACAACAACTTGAATGATGCAGCAGACTTCAAAAGTATTCAAAAATATCATTTCTAGTTCAACCAAACCGCTGTTTATAGTTTACTTACCTCTGTAAATCGTTGCCTCAGCCTTTCTTTTTGCTCATCAGTCCAATCTACATTTTTACTTATGATCTTTCTTGTTTCATCATTCACAGCACTTATTATTTCGTCGACACACTTTGAACTAACACATGATATTTTACTGTTTACAAAAACTTCACCGTCGTCCGCCATTTGTAAATTTCCGCGCTGGCATTGGCGCATGCGTATTAGGACCCTGATGCGGAAGTGGCTCACGTGTGTTGTGTTTTGATTTTGTCACAAACAGAAAATTATATCCGTTCATGGCAATAGTCATAGATGCACATTGTCATTTGGCAGCAGAGGAATTCGACGAGGTGAAGTTTTGTGATTGCATTTCTTTCTTTCACGGATATGAAAATAATTATCTTTGGTAAACAGCGGTGATCGCTTGTTCAACTGTAATCAAAACAGTACATGTATCTTGTACGATCTGCTTAGTTCTGTTTGGACTGTAATAGAGTTGGTACAGTAGTGTTACTATTAGTGTTAGTAATGATAACAGTAATGCCATAAGTTTTACTTCTTTAATTTTGATTCAATTTGGTGTGAGATTATTGGCACCAGAGTGACAATTCCTTTCTACCGTACATGGACGGTACCGCAGTACTGTACTTTGGTAGATTTGTTTTGTTTCATGCTAAGTATGCAGTCAGATCAGAAATAGAGGCAACGGAGGCTACCCCCCCCCCCCCCCANGTTAACACTGAAAGTGCACGGCGCCGGCATCGGCGACGGCATCGGCGGCGACGACAGACGCAGGTGATGGCAATATGTACAGACACATCTGTGTCTGTACATAATAAATTTCTCAAAGCTATTGGATCACTTGTTGTGATCAGTTTTCAAGAAACGTGACCTTTTTCAACTTGCTGCTTTCCATTAGGACAGACAGGATAATAACATACATGATAAAGCTATATCAGTTTCAGAAAAAATACTCTATCACACATAAATTTCTCTATCACACATAATATTTTTGAATATGTGTAAGTCCATAGAGAAGATGGCATAGTCTGCTCTAAAAACTAGATAATAGGAATGGTATTCAAGTGGTCGAAATTAACATTAGTTTGAAAGCAATTACTTCAAATATGTACACTGTGCAAGAGAATGTACAAGAAAACACAGCATTGGTAGAATATTTATAAATGTGAAGATATAAATTAAATTCATGCCTACCAAGAACTTCTTTTCGGCCTTCCCCTCTCTGCATAAATACTGGGTGCACAAAAGTGGGCAATGCTTTCTGCTCCGTGTGGTTCGTTTGATGACCTGATCAAGAGCCGGTAGTAGGGTGGTGTTGACATAATTCCGTCTATCAAGATTTATGGGTTCTAATTCTGAAAAACAATATGATGAACTGGTAAACAAATTGAAAGAAAAATTCACTTGAACACAATATCCAAACTAGATGATTTAATGAAAATTTGAATTGATCAGTTGGACTACATACGCTCTTAACTCACTTTAATCAATTAAAATGCCAAAGTACTCAGAATTCTCTTTTACTGACAAAATTAACTATCAATACACAGACAATATGTCATTATGTTGTCAGAATTTTTATTGCAAATAGGCCATAAAATATGAGCAAGAGTTACCCCAGAGTATTCATTACCCCATTTCAAATCGAGAACAATATTTTTAAAACTGGACTGCTCCACTTTGAGAAATTGACAACTTCATGGCTTGGCTATTACTTATGCCCCTATTCCACACTGATTGTGAATTCAATGAACTGCCAAGAATTGATAAATCCCAGGGTTCTTAGTTTATAGTGGTAAATTCTTTAAGCTCTGAACTGATTATTATTTTTTCTCAGTCAGTTCCAGGATTTCTTGTAAGATCGTGAAATCAGCACAAAAGTTTTGAACCAGTCTTCTATTTATCACCAGTTGATGTTCATACTCCAGTTCTAGGACCAGTGCTATTGCTGCTCTATGTTGAATGTCCATTTTAGAAGTGAAGCCCAACCAAACTTAGTTCTACCAGATATGTGTAAAATCTCACGATTCCATATGATTTCTATGAACAATGCATCAATTCCTGAAGTAAAACCCCCTGTAGCATAATTGCATGTTAGGACCTCTCAAAGTAGGCGGTTGGACGGTCCACTTAGATGTATGCCTCAATGTGAAAAAGGAACTTAGCTTACCTGGGCCCAGTTTCATCAACACTGGATAGTGATATCCTCTGGATAACATTATCCATTGGATAAATTTGTTATCCTAAGGACAGTTATCCTGTGGGTAACGTAATATTTCTTACAGGGTAGATACTTATTTTTGTCCCTGATATTATTGATATCCAGTGGTTAAAAAGGGCTGCAATCCTCAGAATATTCAATGGATAGTGTTATCCATAGGATGGCGCTATCCATCGTTGATAAAACTGGGCCCAGATGTTACCTTACCATCTGTAGCTGCTTCAGAATTTGACTGGTAATCTATCTGGATGTTCACATTGAAAGCATTGGCATAAATCTGTAAATAAATTGGATGAACTCTGAGGTATAACAAAAGTAATTTGAAAGTTGCCTCTCCTTCTTTTTCCACACTGTGACTACCTTACTAGTAACAAAATATATCTCCTTCTGACAAAGTTACTTACGCACAGTTTACTTCTCTGTATTCTACTTTACTAACTTTCCATCACTGATCAATGCTAGTGATGGAAAGTCAGTATTTTGAGCAACTGACCCCTCCCCTTCCAATGCAAAGAGAGAATTACCCAAATACCTAGTTTAAATGTAAATAATAGGTATGATTGATAAGATTTTTGAATACAAAAAGTTCCCATTCCAACATGGAAAATATAAGATTTTCATACAGGGTATTGACGAACCAACTCCTGATACCTTGGCCTCATAATACCTCAGAAAAGAATGAAACATATATAATATTCAACAATGATAGACTCACTCTTTAAGAAATAGATCAACTTTCATGATCTTAATGCAAAAACCATAAGTATCTGTGTCTGTACATAAAAATCAGTAAATCGCAGGTGTTTTGCAGCTACTTCAAAACAGAGCTTGGTATTAACACACACCAAAATTCTTTTTTGATGGGAAGGTCAAAATTTAAAATGGATTCATCAAGCACATGAACAATCTAAAACATATTAAGGCTGCAGAATTGGATAAAAGCAGGAGAAGATTTAAGGAGGAACTGGTGAACAACAAAGCAGGAAGATCATTAGGTATATTGAGGGCAAACAAGGGTGATTGTCAGAATAGTTGGGTGAAATAAAGTCCCAATGATATACAAAAATCGCGTGGACCCTAGCACAGACCAAGTACCAGTACTCAGGCCCGTAGCCAGGGGAGGTTCGGGGGGGGGGGGAGGATTCGAAAGAACCGCCCTTTTTGCTGGGAAAAGGTCCACTCTGGGTAAAATTTGATCTTGGTACATTAAGGTTTTATGGGAAAAGGTCCACTTTTTCAGAAAAAGAATCCCCCTTTTGAAATTGCTGGCTACGGGCCTGTACTACTAGTGCCAAAGTTCCGAGGACTGGTGATGATTTTATCGAAAGAGAGGGGGAAATGTAATCAAATACTTCTGGATTATTATCCATGACAACAACTTGAATGATGCAGCAGACTTCGAAAGTATTCAAAAATATCATTTCTAGTTCAACCAAACCGCTGTTTATAGTTTACTTACCTCTGTAAATCGTTGCCTCAGCCTTTCTTTTTGCTCATCAGTCCAATCTACATTTTTACTTATTATCTTTCTTGTTTCATCATTCACAGCACTTATTATTTCATCGACACACTTTGAACTAACACATGATATTTTACTGTTTACAAAAACCAGGGGTAATCCTAGAGAGGGGTAAGAAACGTCCATTGTTCTCGTCAGTGAGGCTAACCAAATTCAGGGTATGTACGCACAGACAGAAAACCATGTATTGTGGGAACGTTACTAATGAAGCCACTGGTAGTACTAGTAGATATCAGTCTGTAGTCTTGAACAAGCACCTCCTTGACGAGTGAACAGTTGTCAAAAACAAAATACCCAGGTGTGGTAGATCGACTACTGTTCGTGCGTGCCGCAAAGACCAAGCCTAATAGCCCCTCAAGGTCACAAACTAATATCCGGTGCTGACGGTTAGGCTCGTCATAATCGTATAAGTAGCGCGTTTCCACCCCCTGCAAAAACTTCACTGTCGTCCGCCATTTGTAAATTTCCGCGCTGGCATTAGCGCATGCGTATTAGGACCCTGATGCGGAAGTGGCTCACGTGTGTTGTGTTTTGATTTTGTCACAAACAGAAAATTATATCCGTTCATGGCAATAGTCATAGATGCACATTGTCATTTGGCAGCAGAGGAATTCGACGAGGTGAAGTTTTGTGATTGCATTTCTTTCTTTCACGGATATGAAAATAATTATCTTTGGTAAACAGCGGTAATCGCTTGTTCAACTGTAATCAAAACAGTACCCTGTACGATCTGCTTAGTTCTGTTTGGACTGTAATAGAGTTGGTACAGTAGTGTTACTATTAGTGTTAGTAATGATAACAGTAATGCCATAAGTTTTACTTCTTTAATTTTGATTCAATTTGGTGTGAGATTATTGGCACCAGAGTGACAATTCCTTTCTACCGTACATGGACAGTACCGCAGTACTGTACTTTGGTAGATTTGTTTTGTTTCATGCTAAGACTGCTAAGTATGCAGTCAGATCAGAAATAGAGGCAACGGAGGCTCCCCCCCCCCCCCCCC